TTTTTTTTACATTCATTTATAAAAATTGGATTTTTAAGTCAAAAACCGATTTTAGCTGAAAAACCAGTTGTTAAAACATGAATGTCCAGTTTTAAAAACTGGATTTTTATATCCAAATCCGATTTTAAGTTGAAAACTGGATATGAACTCTAAAACCGGATATAAAATATATAACTGGTTATAAAATTTGGTTATGGATATAACCGGTTTATAACCGATTTTATAAAAACAAAACCAGTTATATGAATTGGTTATAATAACCGGTTAAAATAAATGGTTTTGTTTTGGATATGGATTGATTATTTGAATAAACCAACCATGAGCATCCCGACACGTGATTGTTCAAGAATACTCTATCTTTAATGTTAACAGCCCAATAGTCAAGCTCATTCATGATACACCAATATTGCACAAGTTTATTAATATCTTGATAGCAACTCTTCCAAACTACAATTGCCAACTTCCAAACTAATGTTGCCAACTTCCTAATCTTGTTTGAAATCGGCTGAAAATACAAAGTCTTGGACATGCCCTAGAAAATAGGTACCCCAAGATAAATGAAAGGAAGAAACCCCATTTGAAAGCTCATTCTATTTGCCAAGAAACCATGTCTGACTACACTCATGGATCCTGCAAAAATAATGGATTTTGTAAGGTTACAAACTTGACCAAAGCAAGCTGCATATCAGTCAAACAACTCATCAATGGTATTTAACAAAGATGAAGAACCATTAGAATACATCATTATGTCGTCAACATAAAGTGTATGAGACGTAATCTGCACACTTCTACTAGCTTTGATGCACTTCAACCCGTTATTTGAAACCAGTTGAGAAAGCCCTCTGCTAATAACATCCTCTCCCAAGCAGAAGAGAAGATGAGACAAAGGGCCTCCCTGTCTGACCCCCCGCTTGTAGGTGAAGAACCCTCTAAGGTCCCCATTAATTGAGACAAAAACTTTAGCTAAATCCAAAATTAATGTTATCCAAGAGCAAAATTTTTCGTTGAAACCAAACTGCTTGAGGACTTTTATAAGAAAACTTCACTCCAAGGTATCAAAAGCCTTGGCTATGTCCACCTTGAGCATTACATTACCACCAATAGACTTTCTTTGAATCACGTTGGCCACCTCCGATATGAGACAAATACAATCCTTAATGCTACGGCCATGAACGAACCGTTTTTGCTCTTTAGGAAATATATTTTGAATTTATTATAAAAATTTTATGATGAAATATAATATATTATTATATATGGTATTTTTTTTAATTTATAAAAGAATATATTGTTGAATTTATATTATATTAATATAATAAAAATTTAACAAATTTAATATTATTTTTAATTAAGTTATTATAATAAAATACATAGTAAATAATAAATTAAACAACTAAGTTTAAAATATTTTTGAACAATCTATTTTAGATTAATCTAACATGACATACTATTTACAAAATTTTTAATTAGTTCAACTTAAAGGCATTCTTAGGAATGATACGAGAACAAAGTAAAAGGGTTCTTAATGTTTTGAGATTTTTGATTATGCGAAAGATTTACATAAAATCAATAAAAGTTTAGAGATGTGAGTTTAGAAAATGTGAAGACACTGAAAGAATAATATGAAATTAGTTGAGAAAACAATTGACTTATTATTATTATTATTGTAATTATTATTATTATTATTATTATTATTATTATTATTATTATTATTATTATTATTATTATTATTATTATTCGAGTCAAGTTCTAATTCTATCATCCTATTGAACATGAGACTTTTCTTTTTAGAGCAACACTTTTGTGAGAGACACACCACATACTCACTCAAAATCTTAAGGTGATAGGTGTATGAGTTCTCTCAGTTATAAATACTCAAATCTTCACATTTCTAGCTAATGTGAGAATATTACTCATACTACTCACACTTGTTATACCTAAAAATTCCCCTCAAGTGTGAGTCTATCCACAATGCTTCCACAATACCCCCTTAAGCAGAAGCTTCAACTATGCAACTGCAGTTTCAGTTGTGTGTTTCTTGCTCACCACCCTTGTACCGCCTTTGACACTCTTCAACGGGACACCTCCTAACCACCATCTGTGGGGAGTAGTTTCGATACAAGTGAGTTGATCCTTCACTTGAACTAGGCTCTGATGCCACTGTTGGGTAGAGATTTTCACTAGGGAGCATTGAACATTGCAGGACTTTTTTTTATATAGAAAAACACCTTTGTGAGAGACACATGTACGTACTCAGCCAAAACTTTAAGGTAATAGGTGTGTGGGTTCTCCCACTTATAAATGCTCAAGTGAGACTATTGCCCATACTACTCACACTTGTTATACTTAACATATAGGAAGCATTAAGAAATCCTCATTGAAAAAATGAAGTCTCACATATCAATAATTTGGGTCACCCACTGTTTATATCCACGCAACCAGACCAATAGTGTTGGGTGTGTGGGGATGTATTAAGAAAAATTCAAAGTTCCACATTGGTTAAAGATAGAGTTCACATATGGTTTATATAAAGTGAATTTGACCTAACTCATTCAAATAAGGTGAGGGGTGTTACTCTATCATCTAAATTGCCTATAGATGAGTTATACCAAATTTTAATTCTATCATCTAAATTGCCTTTCCAAGTTAACCGACCAGGCACCCGATAAATCAAACAAATGAGAAGCGCTTTCAAATGGTCACAAACAATCGGTAGAATATTAGTATATAATAAATTGAAGTTACAATTCTCATCCAAGTAAACATCATTTATTCGCATTTCCAAATCGTGAATATCCACATAGAAAACCTACTCCGCTAATTTCCTTAATCCAAACCAAACCAATTTGAAAATGAGAAATAGTAGTTATATTCCCTCAATCTAAATTAACAACCATCTTTATGAGCAATCTGATCTTTCATAATTGTATTTTAAGTAATATAATTCCGATTTCTTATTCATATTAAGGAACATTTTCTCAATGATATACTTGAATTAAAATTTTGACCCATAGAAAATTACAATGTAATTAAATATCTCTTATACTCTCATTAATATATATTTTCCTATAATTTTTTTATTTATAATATTCTTAAAATTTAAAATAAATTAATAATAAATATTTATTTATTATTTCTTACAAAAACATTCTCATAAAAATATTAAAATTTTCCATTCTTTTACTCATCCTTTCAAACTCCTCCATTTCCCTCCCTTCTACACTCCGGAAAAAGAACCTAAAGAGGTATATGCTATAAAAGCACACGTTTAAATTGTTACACTTTTTTTTTTTTTTTAGAAATATAATTATCTTAAAAACCAATTCATTCAAGCAGCACCGGATTTGGCGTAAATCCCACTTGATTGCTTTCCCTTCATCAAGTTTCTCTCTCATAACTTCAATCATAAGAATAATATTTTTGCCATCTTATTTTTAAATAATTAAATCATCATAAATGCAATTACTTTCTCATCAGTTTTCTCTTTTAATATTTTAAATTAGATAATTATTAGATTCACCCAGAAGATATTAGCGTTATTTAATGTTCAGACGCTTACCAATATAAACATATTTTTTGTGTATTAATTTTTTTAAATTTAATTTTTATATAAAAAAATTGAATGAAATAGTTGATGTCATATACCAGTTAATAAAAAAAAGTTATTAAAAGAGAAATTGAATTTTAAAATAAAAAACGAAAAAATATAATTGAAATAAAAATAGACTACCCAAAATCCAAGTTTTTCCATTATATATATATATATATATATATATATATATATATATATATATATATATATATATATATATATATATATATATATATATATATATATATATATATATATATATATATATATATATATATATATATATATATATATATATATATATATATATATATATATATATATATATATATATATATATATATATATTATAAATTAGATAAAAAAATTGAATGAAATAATTGTGCAAACTACCCTCTACCAGTTAATAAAAAAAAGTTATTAAAAGAGAAGTTGAATTTTATAATAAAAAACAAAAGGGTATAATTGAAATAAAAATATGCTACACCAAATCTAAGTTTTTCCTTTATATATGTTATAGAGTTATTGATTATATATATATATATATATATATATATATATATATATATATATATATATATATATATATATATATATATATATATATATATATATATATATATATATATATATATATATATATATATATATATATATATATATATATATATATTGATGTGTGCTTAAAATATATACTTGTTTTACTTCTGTTCTATAATATATGATTAGTTGACCATATTATATAGATTAAAAAAATAAATGAAAGAGAGAATGATAATTTTACTAAATTATTTTTAGTGTGTATTAAGAATAATGAAAATAATATTAATTAGAAGATAAAATTGAAAAAGTACATTAAAAATTGAAATGGATAATTCACTTTAAAATATTGTTGTATTTCAAATGTCTTGTCTGATATGGGACGGAGAGAATATTATAATCTATAACTTCTATAACTATATATAAAGGGATACAAATTTTTGGCGTGACTTATTTTTTTACCATTTTCACTCTTGCTTTATTATATAATTTATTTATATAATAATTTTTTATTATTAACTTTCACGTAACTTTTTATTATTAACTTTTACATACTGTATTTTTTAAAATATTTATTTAAATAAAAAATACCGTTTATATTTTCATTCATGCGCATTAAAAAAACGGACAATCGGTGCGTGCCCGTCTGAACGCTATTATACATAATGAGATTACATATTATTTTGAATTAGTTTTAAAAGAATTTTAGCCTTAATTATTTGTATTATATTTTCAACTACTAATTAAGCATTTGATTATGATACAAGCACACGGTTAATTCCACTATATAAAGCAAGTGTTAACTTCATTGTTCACTGCCATTCTCCATAATTAAGAAACACTGTCCTTTTCTCCATTTGTCCTAGCACACATGGGTCGCCATTCCTGTTGTTTAAAGCAAAAACTAAGAAAAGGATTATGGTCCCCTGAAGAAGATGAGAAGCTTTTCCATTACATAACCATCTTCGGTGTTGGTTGTTGGAGTTCAGTTCCCAAACTAGCAGGCTTGCAAAGATGTGGAAAGAGTTGTAGATTGAGATGGATAAACTACTTGAGACCTGATTTGAAGAGAGGAATGTTCTCACAACAAGAGGAGAATCTTATTATCACTCTTCATGAAGTACTTGGAAATAGGTAACATCAATGTTGAAACATGTTTATATGGTTATTAATGGATTAATGTTTCAAAAATGATTATTGATTTTCTATGTGTTATTAGGTGGGCTCAAATTGCAGCACAGTTACCAGGGAGAACAGATAATGAGATAAAAAACTTTTGGAATTCATGTTTGAAGAAGAGGCTAATGAAGCAAGGGATTGATCCAGCTACACATAAGCCATTCTTCAATGAATCACTTATAAAGGAAGAGAATCAAAAATCATCAATGCTAATGCCGGCACTGTCTCAACTGTCTCAACCTCAAAGAACTTTATCTTCACAGGATTATTATTCAGAAGCACTTCTAATGAGTGATCTGAATAATTATCACTATAATATTAATGGTTTAGCTTTTACAGAAGCTTCAAGAAAAATTCTCATGAATTCGAGTAAGCCATTATTTGATCCGTTATGCTATAATCTAAGTGTGAGCAATTATTATCAGCCAAAGCTAAGAGAATTTGAACAGAATCTGTATTTCGGAAATGATTCAAACTATTTCTTCTCTTCAATGCCTTGTCTAAATAGTTCAGACAACAATAACTCAGTTTCCAAGTTTAGTTCTCTTTTGGTGAATGAAAACTCAAACAATGGTTGTTCAACTATGATGAATGATTATCTAGTGCGTGAAATGAGCAGCAGCATGATTGAAAATGCAGGTGGATTATTGTCATGGGAAGGTGAGAACAAGGTTTTGGATCCTTTGTTACAGTTTGAAGTCAATGCAGTAAAATGTGAAGAGTTGTTGATCAACAAGACAAGTTCATGGCAAGAAGGACAGTTTCTGACGAGTAATGATTCAATAAATTTTAGTACCTTTCCTTTAACGTCACTGTCAGAAGATCTAAGTAATGAAGCTAATTTTGATGTATTTCACCATTTATGAACTTGAAACTTATTGTTGATGATAGCATAGGAAAGTTGTATTGATGTGTTTGTTTTCACGAGATTGAGGACTATTTTATGGTGTTTATTTTTCCACATGTGGAATTACGTATTCGTTCAATTTTCAATGGATTATCTGAATTATTGCAGTTAAATTTTATGATGTTAAAAAGTATAGTTAGGATACATAGAGGTACGCACGCAGAGAAATATAAAATATGAATGGTGGGTAGATTCGAGATATTTTGAGAAGCTGGCTATATATGATTATTTCTAAATGGCACCACCATGTACTGTTTTGTGAATTGATGATTCCCTCCAAAAAGTTCTAATTGGCTGCCCAAAGTCTCTGCATTATTTGAAGAGAGTGGGGTCTTCTTTATCATCATCATCATCGCGTATATTTACTACATACTGTTTGAATATCGTCTTTAATTTTCTGTCACCAGAGGGTTTGTCCCAACACATATACACCATAACTTTGAGCTTATTTATATATGGACAAATATGTGTCTACACATGTAACTTGCATGGAGCTTATTTATATATGTGTTTCTTGTATCTAACGTCTTGGTTTCTAACCATTTTTTAGGAAAGGTTTGATTATTAGTAGTAATTTTCAATTTTATTAAAAGTTGGACAGACACTAGTAGATAGTTATTAGAGATTAAACTACTGAGGTAGTAATAGAAGTTAGTTATGGTGGTTATTATATATATATATATATATATATATATATATATATATATATATATATATATATATATATATATATATATATATATATATATATATATATATATATATATATATATATATATATATATATATATATATATATATATATGGAGTTAGTTAGGATGCTTAGCAACTATATAAATTTCACTACATATATTAGTGCAGTGGTGTAAGGTGATTATGATGGTGAATACAATACACACATGTAAGAGAATCTTGCATAGTTCTCTCTCTCTCTCTCTCTCTCTCTCTCTCTCTCTCTCTCTCTCTCTCTCTCTCTCTCTCTCTCTCTCTCTCTCTCTCTCTCTCTCTCTCTCTCTCTCTCTCTCTCTCTCTTCTATTTTGAACATGTAGAGTTCTCTTATGATATATCATATGCCTAAGGGGATCGAGTCTTCCGTTGCACCATCATCATCATCATTATCGCCATCATCTTCAACTCGATGCTAAGAGCAAGCCGCTTTAATAAGAAGCATTGTTTTTTGTTCAAGCTGTTACAGAGCAACTCAAGTTACAAAGCAACTTCCATGGAAGACATCAATTCATCTCCGAGAGTGTAACCACAAGTTCAAAACTCTCAAACTGCTTCAAGTGACGTTGGATTTTACAACACAACAAATACCTTTGCCCCGAAGCTATCAATAAAGCTGAATGAATCTAACTTTCTTCTATGGAATCAGCAAGTCTAATGGGTGATACTCTCTCACAAACTCCATGGAGTGGTGGTTAACCCTCAGATTCCACCAATGTTCAATAATGAATAAGATCGTCTTGCAAATGTTATATCTGAAGACTGAATCTTGGATTGTGCAAGATCAATCCCTATTTACATGGTTATTCTCCAGCATTTTTGAATCAGTTCTTCCACGAGTTCTTGCGTGCAAACATGCTCATGAAGTGTGGGACAAAGTCCACAAACACTTTAATTCCCAAATGAAGGCAAAAGTGTATCAGCTTCACTCGGGGTGGAAAATAAGCAAGAAGGGAACCATATTCATCTCATAATATGTGATATCAATTCGTGTTATTGTTGTTTCTCTCATGGAAATTGGTAACCCTATATTTGAGCGTGATCAGGTAGATGCTATATTACAAGGATTACCAGGGGAGTATAACTCTTTCATCATGATGGCATGTAGAAAAATTGAACCATTAAACATATACGATGTTGAAGCATTGTTATATGTGCAAGAGGCTCAGTTGGACAAGTTCAAACAAGAATTAGCTTCACCAAGTGCCACAAGTAACATAGCTCAATGAGTTAGTACTGGCAAAAGTGCTAACTTAGCTAGTTCCAATCATTACCCTTGTGGTCGAGGCAAACAATTCATTGGTAGAGGTCGTGGGCGCCAAACTTAACCTTACACACCTAGAAATCGCCCCACACATCAACTCTGCAACAAATATGGTCACTAAATGATTGAATTATGGCACATGTTTGATGAGTATTATGAGTCAGTGTCACACAAGAACCAGTCTCAAGCATCCACATCCAACAAAATGAATTATACTCATGATGGAGCCAAAACTCAGGATAACACATCAACTCAAGCCATAACATGTCTTGCACATCAAGATCAACTGCATATTCCACCAAATATAGATTCACGAGCATGGATTGTAGACTCAGGTGCCTCACATTATATTACATATAATCCAGCTAATTTGCATGTTATACAGTCATATGTTGGTCTTAATAAAGTGGTAGTAGGAAATGGACATAGTCTAGCTATTAAAACCATTGGCCATTCACAAATGCATTCAAATTTTATGTCTAACTCCATGATTAGGTTATCTGATGTGCTACATGTACAAAATATAATGAGAAACCTCATTTTTTTAATCTAATCTAGCTAAAGACAATCAAGTCTACTTCGAATTCTATTCTAACAATTGTTTATCAAATCTCAGGGATCTAAGCAAGTGCTTTTTGAAGTATTTTTAGATGAAAATGGTCTTTATTGCTTCAATAGTATATTATTGGGCACATCAAGAAATGCCTTGGACCACAAGTCATCTAGCTCAGGTCTTGAAGTGCACAATAATAGAGTGTCAAATTCCAATTCTTTACTTGTAAATAAAATGTCTATTTGGAATTCTAGGTTAGGTTATGCCAATTCTAGAGCTATACATAAAGTCCTACAATTGTGTAACATTTCCTGTAATATTAATAAAGAACCTCAAACTATTTTGCAATTCTTGTTGTCTTGGTAAATCTCATAGAGTATATGCCCATATGTCCAACACTAAGTACACCATTTTATTTAACTTGTGCATACTGATCTATGGCGGTCATCTCCTACACTATCTAGCAATGGATACTACTATTACATTGCATATGTAGATGTTTTCTCCAAGTACACATGGATCTATATGCTCAAAAACAAAAGTGGTGCATTATCTGCTTTAAAGATGTTTCAGACTTATATCACTACACACAATTCAACATCAAAATCAAAGCAGTTCAATTTGACTATGGTGGTGAATTCAAGCCCTTCACTAAGTTTCTTAATGATAAATGCATCATCCAAATACTAAAATGTTCTCACACATCTCATCAAAATGGCATTGTGGAAAGAAAGCATAGACAAATATTGAAAATAGGCTTCACTTTTCTTGCACATGCCTAAATGCCCATCAGGTTTTGGGATCATAGCTTCACCATTACAATGTTCCTGATAAACAGACTTCCAACAAGTGCCTTGTCAAACATTGACTCACCATACAAGGCTCAACATAATAAGCAACTTGACTATAACTTACTCAAAGTGTTTGTCAACTCATGTTTATCGCTGCACAAAAAATCAGAGAAGTCGCAATCGAACGTAATTTATTCCAACGAAAGGGAAGAAAAACATCGAGAAAACCTATAGTAAAAGACAGTCTCGCGACCAAGATATGGGTCCAAAAGTCGGTTATGTAAGGGAAAGGTATTAGCACCCCCTCACATCCATCGTACTCGATGGGAACCATCTAGGTAGTCTACGTGTGAATGGGTGTCGTTACCTAAGGTTTACTTGATAAAGGAACATGACGGGTTGAAACCAAAAGGGGACTCGATAGGATCTTACAATCCTATGCCTATGCATTCCCTCGTGCAATGGGAAAGTCAGAGTCATCGTAGTTCGGAAGACTACGGGTGAATTGGTGGGAGTTTGCTCGCAAAGATCTTGCAATATTATGCCTACATATCTTCATTGACGAATGAAGAATCAGAGTGTTTGTAGTTCGTGGGACTACGGTATTGTGGGTTTGTTGTTTTGGTGGGTGAGGTTTAATGTTTGCGTTCTAGCAGTTAAGCGTGGCTTGTATTGCGGTAGAACGGAGGTAATGTGCTATTTTTGGAAGGTTTTGAAAGTGTTTCCACAAGGCAAAGGTAGTTTGAGGAGTGAAAGTTGTTTTTATTATGAGTCTAATGGTAGGTACTTAGAGGGAGAAGAGTATCGAACCATAGGTTAAGTACGACCCACAATCAAATGCTCGATAGTCAAGGAGACAATAGTATCCCAACCGCTTGCATTCACCCTAAGAGGACCAGATTAAACTCTTTTTTGGGTTAAGTTATTTTGGAAGGTTTGAGTCTTATCATGGAAAAGATGGAGAAAGGTGAGATGGAATGTAGTGGAAAGAGTGATAAATTGAAATAGGGTAGGTTGACGATGATGCGCAAAGCAATCGACTTACAGGTGCGACATACAAGGCTTGCTTGGTTAAGTGGAATGAAATGGAGTTTTGAATGTTTGAGAGAAGAAGAGGGAAGAATGGAATCTCTAAAGTGGAGTGTGTGAATCCCTAATGTTCTACTTATTTGTTTATGAAAAGAGTTAGATATTGGATCTAACTTGTTTTTATTTTTGTTTTTGAAAATGTTTTCTAAGCGCTTTTGCTTTTATCTTTTCTAACCTATTAATATGCAAGCATACAAGCACATAAAAGCATATACAAGAAAGTAAAGGCCCTAGACTATTACATTATGGATGGGGAGGGGGAAGTATGAGAAATCCACCATGTGGGGATAAACCTAATCTAAGATATAATGAATGAGTGAGATGAATCATGAAGGTTCAATAAAATAAACAAAGTTTCAAATGTCCAAGTGTAAGAAGTCCTCAAGTATTATGTCACAAGACAAACAAAAGAGTTAGTATATGAGATGTAATGAGATGTATAAAAATCAAAAGATAGAACCAACATGAATCATAAGAATCAATGATACATGATCAATCAAGCAAAGATGGAATGCAAGGAAACATCCAATGAAAT